CGTTTTTCACAGACCGACTTGTCTGCGCAGAGCTTCGCCAGCTCCACTTGTGCTGCCGCCTCATCATCGAGATTTCTGAAGCGGGCCTTGAAGGCGGTGGCAAAGGCCACTTCGTTCCTGAATGGGGTCGTGGCCCCTTGTACTCCTATCTGCACCGACACAAGCTGGGCGAAGTAGGGAGTGGCCCAGGCACGGGCATCTCCATCGAGCAGGCTTAGTGCGACCTGCACCTTAAGCTCAATGGTGGTCAATGACGTGTTAACCAACCAGTAGATGCGCAGCTGCGACAGGAACCGGTTGCACTCGATGATGGTTTTGCCATCATATTGGAGTGGGAGGAGGAGCTTCAAAGTCTCCTTGTCGGGGGCGGCTGTAGGGGACGACATTATCGGCGTCGGGGGGGACAGAGGACGCTGTGGGGGCGGAGGCGGCTGTGGTGGCCCTCCGCTAGTCGAACTTCGAGAGGAGCGAGTGCTCGAGCGGCCTCTCGGTGGAGTCGGCGGTGAAGGCGCCAAAGGAAGTTCGGCGGGGGGGTTATATACGTCAGGGACTGCTGACGCGGGGGCGAGCGCTGGCGGCGAGGCGGACCCAGTAGAAGCCTCGGACTCGGACTCCGAGACTCCTTCTTCACCCTCACTCTCCTCAGGCTCTGGCTCTGGCGCAGGGTTTGGAGGGAGATCTCCTCGAGCTTGACTGGACTCGGCGACAGTTTGGGGAAGGCGGGAGGTAGGGGAGACAGGGCGCGAGTGCCGCGAGGCAGATCGGGATGCGAGGGTGCTTCGGGGTCCGAGCGGGTGTTGCGCTCGTCGGATTGCTTTGTAGCGAGGGTAATCCTCCTCGATCGATCGGGGTGTCCGGTTCAGTGTTGTGCGAGTCGTCAAATGATCGTGCGACTGTCGTTTAGTCGCATGATGCCAGTCGAAACGACTACAAACGACGACGACTTTTTCCACGCCGGCGACTATTCCCACGCTGGAGACTGTTCAGCCACATGGACCGCAAGAGCCTGAGGCGACAGTACATGATGCAAATGTGGGAGGAGATTTGGTGCCAAAATGATAGCGAATGTAGTAGAATGTAGAACTAGTATGTATTGTTGTATAAGAATACATGTTTATTCTGTGAGCAGAGACTCGGCACTCGCATCTAAGTCGGTACCACTCTCTGCACCGAAGTTGAGAAGCTCATGCAACTCGAGCTCATCCTGCAGGCCTCTCTGAGCCTCTGTTTCAATCATCGCACCCCACTGAGTACCCTCGAAGTCAAATAGATCACTCAACGACACAGAGAGGCAGCCAGATAAAGTGATCGGCTCCTCATCCACATCTTGATCGACCGCATTTGTATGGTCCCCAACGATCCGCTCGAACTCGTACCTGTTTGTCCAGGCTTCTCTATTGTCTTCGTTAGTTGATAAATTTGCATCTTCTTCACATTCCATTACACCTGCACAGGAAGTCAGTTTCCGAACCAGCTGTTTTGTTGTAGTGACTACATACCAGCATTGTTCGACTCACAACTCGGAGCACTCACTGTACTTGTACTGGCTTCGGTACCTGTGACATTGTTTTGTCGAGGTGCACCAAAATGCCGTTTGAGGCGTTCCTTCCCATCCGAGTGACGCTCTTCATCTCGTAGGTGCATTTTCAATTCCGCTAGCCATGTCATGGTGTTTGTCGACATACGATTACGGAGTTGGGTAAGGATGGTGCCGAACGTGCTGAACAAGCGTTCACATGAGGCTGAATTTGCGCAGACTGAGAGGAGTCGAGTCGCGATCTTGACCAATGACGGATCAGGACGGTCGGCATGTGTGAGATCTTTCCAGATCGAAATCGGGTCAATTGTAGTTCTCTAAATGTGCATAAAGAGGTGTCAATTAAAGTAAGTGATGTTAAAGTTGATGTACCTTGCGCTCGGCCTCTTCACATGCAGTGTTCACATACAAGGTGAGTCCGGAGTAGCGCCCCTTGTCATCTAGGTAATCCCTTAGCTCCTGCAGTAGATCATTGGCTGTCTGACCTGGATAGAAGCGCTGCCAAAGACGTTCAATGAGAATAGTGACTCCAGCACGGGTCAAGGCTGGTAGCGGTGCAAAAGCCTTCAACCTGTAGAGTGGATTGAGGATAACAGCGGCAATGAAGATGTCTTGATCGGCCTTCTTCCAGCGCGTTTCGAGGCTTTGCTGCAATGCCTTGCGAACCGCATTTTCAGACTCATCAGTCTGATCCAGCTTATTGTACTGATGGTAAAGGTATCCGAAGATGACAAGTACTTGATCAAGGCGGCAATGTGCTGCTTGTGCAATATTTGCGGCAATTGCAAGCGGCTCTAGGTGACGCTTGATGCTGCAGTAATGTCACACTATCAACACATGTAGTCATCATACACAGGTGTACTCACCATGCGATTGACTCCCAGAAAACACTGTTCTTCATGAGCTTCACCATCTCATTGCCCTTTGTCCTTGCTGCCTGCTTTGTGCCGGCAATAAAGCGTGATTCCTGACCACGAGCTTCATCATCTTGAATGACCCAAGATATTGTTGGCTGTAGCTCGAGAAGGCGACGGTAGGCAAGATAGTGTGCGGTCCAACGGGTGATAACAGCACGGATTACGGTTAGAGGTGTCTTTCCGAGGGAGATTTGTACATCACGAAGAATCCCCAGAATGTATGTCCGCTTGCGCAGCCATGCAATCAGGTCATCGGCATGTTCTGCCCAGACAAAGAACACAACAGATGATCCCAGCTTGAAGTAATCTCCAACTACGAGGTTGATCTAGCAAGAGATCTCAATCATACAGTATATGAAATGATATAAGTCATACCTGGTGAGCATAGCAGTCGAGAACAATGAGAATAGGGTACTTGCGATGAAGGACAGCGCGAGCCTTGCGTGATTCACCAGAGGCATCCGATGTGAATGCAACTATCTCTACCTGCCAATCCTGATGTATCGTGTCGAATGCTGACTCGATCAACTTGAAGAAGTTTTCGGCAGTCTTGCGTTCGCTCGAGACATCGAAAACCTTGACTGTGTGTGTCTAAAAGACATTGGGAAATGCAATATGTCCGAAATAATTGCCCTCACCTCTCGATTTGCAGCCAACATGAACGCAATTAGGTGATGATTATTCACCCCTGTCCAACCGTCAGCTTGCACTGTGGCTGCTGACTTCACAGTCACAGCGATTGCCTGAGAACGATAGAGTTTGACCTCTGCTGGGAGGAGTGTGGTCGTCAGGACTTTACGAGAGGGGTTTCTCGCCTGAGGCAAGAATTCGTCACAGAAACGTAACCAATGCGGATTCTCAATCCAAGAGAGAGGTATGCCAACAGATGCCGTGATCCGTGTTATATGCGAGAGGTAGCGTTGATGTCGCTCGGGAGTCCACTCCGGCTCAGGCCATGATACTGGCGTGAGTATTCCTGAGCCCATGCGCCGTGGCCGCTTCGCATCGGGGATGGAAAATGAGCGCCGCATCCCAGAGGGTCGGAATGCAGCACTTGGATACGAGGGGCTAGGGCTTGGTGACAGGCTAGGTATTGGATGGGAAGGGAAAGCTATCCCACTCGAGGATGAAGGTCGGGAGAAGTCGACTAATGCAAGGCTAGGTGTATAGGCTCGAAGACCGTCTACTGATGGGGGATGTGAAGCAAATTGGAAAAGCGTAGATGTAGATTCAGATGTTGCAGACGGAGGGAATATAGGCATGCGGCCTGCAGCTGCATCTTGAGCGATCGGTATTGACGATGCTGATCCAGATGGCAGTATTGTTGGCCTCGCAATTGGTGCCGTACCCAGTTGAGAAGTGTCAGTGTGCCCTTCTCCGATTTCATGCATTGCAAACTCAGTCCATGTCCGCTTCTGAGATCTGCCCGGGGAGTTCTGCTTGTATGCAGAAGCTTTCTGCCGCACAGTGTCAGGCTGAAGGCTGCAATTCACTAGGTGTGTCAGTAGTGTTGCACTCCGACTATTCAGATACCCTCTGAGCTTGTCATCCTGCATATTTACTGTCCAGACTAGGTGTCACTGTGAGCGCTATATGATTGCGGAATGCAGCCGGAATCACTTACGATGCGCAGTAATGGTCTCAATTGTTCGCGCTGCTTCACGTCTCCGATCCTGGATCTCGATGACGTCGATCCCTCGCTCTTCAGCAATGTGCCGTTCGAGACATGCCTTGCAGTACACCTTGATCTGGTCAGTCCTTCCTTTCCACAGTGCTTCCACCCTAGCTGCGCCTTTGTACTGCGAAGCTGGATGATCATGAAAGAAGTTGCGCCACCAGCCACGGTTTCTGCCAGCAGCGGCACGAGTATCAGAGATTTCAGACATCGAGAAAGGGCGGAGACGAGCCGGGGTGAAAACAGAACAGACAGGGATGTCATTGTAAAGGCTCTCATTGAGCTATAATAAGATTATCGATGGTAAGTACTGCACATGTTTTGATTCACGTTGTTTCTTAGAGTGTTCTACTAGGAGGAGCGGAGTGCGTACTAGCGCTATCGCGGACGTGGATTGTGCGCGCGGACAGACGGGCCGTATCTGCGTAAGCCGTGGGAAAAGTCGTCACGACTTTTCGACTGTCGTACAGTCGTCGATTAATCGCCCCAGTCGTGGGAACGACTGGGGCGACTGGCAGACGACTGGCCCAACACTGGTCCGGTTGGGGCACGGCTGCTGCTCGCAACGATAGAGGACAGTCTCAGGGCCGTCTGGGATGTAGACGTCGATGAGGTTCTGGGAGTCGAATGCGTGGATCTGGCCTTGGCAGGCAGCCACGATGGATGGGGGGAGGAAGGGGAAGTGAGTGTGTTCCGGTGAACGCCGGCAGCGGTGAGGAGTTTCGACCTAATGTCGCGACTTAGGGTCAAGCGACAGAGGATAACCAAACAAGGCGCTGGGGGCGTTCGACTTAGTTCTTACCGAAGCGATGGTGAGCTAGGCTCAAACCTAAGGCTAGGGACAAGTGAATGTATTAGTTAGTAAGGTAAGAAAGGAATACAAATGAGGGCTTACTGACCTAGGGACAAGAGGTCGAAACAGAGGTCCCTAGGGCAGCAGAGGCCGGCTTATATACATGGGGAGATTAGGGCAGGCTGTGCACGTTGGTCCGTGCGCAGCTGGTCTGTGCGCAGCATGCCGACGCGGCCCCGGGGGCCGGTGAGTCAGAGCAGCTGTGTCAGCGGGGCCCGAGCTGTGCCATGTGCTGCCGCCCCATCTAATCTAATCGTACAGTAGGTAGTGACGCGTCCATATCAGGCAGGTAGTACAGAGGTCGCGGGTTCGAGCCTGCGAAAAGGAACAAATTAAAAAACGGCTAGGCGCCGTACCAACTCGTGACAGCTGTCCACCATAGCGATTATGTCCTTGTGCCATCTTTTCCCTTGAAGTCGAACTGGAATGTGAAAATGTTGGGACCCCTGGTCCAACTCGTACACCATTGCAGTCGACAATACATTATACTTGTTACATGATGATACTCGCGGCCCGACGCATGCAGCACGAAGCGCGGACCGGATCAAAAACCCTTCTCCTTCATCGCCCGATAGTGTTCAAGCTCTTCGCGCATCGACTTCACCTGTGCCATTAAGTCCGCCAGCTCCGATTGCTCGGATTTTGCTGAAGCGG